AACTCATTCAAACCCATTGTGCAGCCATTCCATTAGCTTTAGAATACAGTACTTCCAAGAAAATTGTCTTCCTGGAACACTAGTGAAGGCATTATTGCTAATAACAGATAATGCCCTATTCTAGCAGAGAATTTTTTTTGAAAGGTGTTTGTCCTCATCTCTCTAAAGCAGTACGCTGCCTGGGGAATCCTGGGAGTTGAAGTCCACACATCATAAAATTGCCAAGGTTGTGAAACACTGCAAAGATTTTAATTGTCTATGATGTTGTTGTTAGTTGTGAAATAGTGTCTGACCCATCGCGACCCCATGGACAATGTTCCTCCAGGCCTTCCTGTCCTCTACCATCCCCCGGAGTCCATTTAAGCTCATGCCGACTGCTTCAGTGACTCCATCCAGCCACCTCATTCTCTGTCATCCCCTTCTTTTGCCGTCAATCCTTCCCAGCATTAGGCTCTTCTCCAGTGAATAATTATTTATGAGACCAATGACTGCTTCCAACAGAAAGCTTATAGCCCAATCCCCCCCATCCTCCCCCACAAATGGCTGATATATTACTGACTTTCTAGAAAGAAGTTCTGCTTTGTATGCACACAATATATGTATGTGTCTCTCCCCCCTCCCTCCCCTCTCTCTCATTCAGCTGTCAAATTTTTAAAAAAACTGTGACTCTGTTTTTTACATGATTTGTAACATTCCTTCCACTCTTGGTTTAACAAATCAGCAAGGATGCTGTTAAATCAAATATGCGCGCCATTGCATTTTTCAGGTGGGCTAGGTTTCTTTCAGATGATGAGAAAAGGGAAAGCAATGGAACATAGTATGATTGAAAGAATGTAGACATCTTAAATTTTATTAGAGAAAGATGATTCTGCACGTGTGCAACTAAAACAATCTGAGTGCCAAAGTCAATACCACATGGAACGGTTGGGCTCCACTATTATTTTTTAACAGCAGTCATGGGTTACTGCTGGAATTGAGTATGGATTGCAGCTTCGAGGAAGAGAAGGTGTACCCCTTTCCCTTTGTACTTTTTTTTTAATCCAATTTAAATTTAACCTCTTTTCCAGTCAGACTGAGAGTCCGATGGGCCACTCAGTACCTGATACACCATCACCACCCACTCAAAATCACAAAGGAAGATTCAATCTCTTTCTCTTTTGCAACTGGGGAATCTTAATGTAGTCAGGAGTTTCCCTAAGGACAGAACTGGCACCTGGGAATCCTTCTTCTTCTTCCCCTTTCATTCTCTGAGCCCTACCGGTCTCATTAATCCGGAAACATCTTCTTGCAATCCACTCTCTCTTTCTCCACTGACCTTGCTTGGACCCATGGGCTTTTTGCATTGAACATTCTTTCTTTCTGAGCCAATGGGTGCAGCAAATTCTGTTTCTTCTTGGTGTGATTTCAGCATTTCTTTTTTGAACCTATTGGAGACCTTCTCAAACTGCTTTTGAGCCGAGGTGGCGCAGTGGTTAAATGCAGCACTGCAGGCTACTGCTAGATCAGCAGTTCAGCGGTTCAAATCTCACCGGCTCAGGGTTGACTCAGCCTTCCATCCTTCCGAGGGGGGTAAAATGAGGACCCAGATTG